GTCAATAAGTATTTAGTAAGCATATACTAAGTGCCTAAAATCACACTGGATCACAGAAAGCCTTATTTTGCATAATTAAGTCTAAATGGGCACATTATTTATGAATATGTAGAAGAGAAAAAAGTTATCGATAGGATTCCCAAGAGCAAGTAATACCCTTTCTTGTCCAGATTACTGGATTGCTAAATCAGGAGATACTTGCAAACATGGTGTACCTTAATATCAGTAAGGTATTTGACAAAGTCCTAATGTTCATGGATGAACTGGAGAATGCACACTAGATCACAGTAGACTGGATTAATAGCTAACAGTGTTGATTAATGGAGATCTTGAATGATGAGTTATGGGGATTACACTTGACTTTGATCAAACGATCTTTTAATGACATGGATGTGTGCACATGATTAAATATAAGGATGGCATAAAGTTACGAAGGATAGCTAATATATTGGAGGACAAAAATAAATACTTTAAAGTATTTTATTGGCTACAACAATGGGCTAAATCTAATAAGCAAATATTTAACTTAAATAAAGAGAATATCTCACATCTAAAAAAATCATTGTACAAATGACTGGATTTTTCACAATATATTGAGGAATCTGGCTCGGTAACAACTCAAGTGAAAACAAAATATATAAAAGTTAAGGCAACTGATATAAAAGTTAAGTCCATTTTAATAAGTTTAAAGGATTAAGGCCAAAAGAGGCAAGAGTCCTGTTGATTGCTGTGCCTTTTTTTCCCTGACCATACCTGAAATATGGTGTACATCTCTCCATGCCATGCTCAATAGACGACAATCATAAATTCCATAAACTTAGTAGAGTGTTTTCAGAATGTGGTTACCAAGAGTGCTACAGGCTCGATTATAATATGTGACTAAGACAAATAGAAGAATTTATCCTGAATAAGTTATTATATTTCTCAAGGTTATGTACACATTTTCTTTTTCTTCCTTGTAAGGCCAGCTCTGAGCACAGAGCCTGGCACGTGTTTGGAGTTGAATAAATGTTTGCTAATGAAGAGGTCACGCAGTCAATTCAGATATCTGAAGAGCTACTAATGAGGCTCACACCCTGTGTCCAGGTAGATCAATCTAGGACCTCTGGTAAATGTTACACAGAAGCAGCTTTTGGGTGGAGACAAGTGGGCGTGTGTATGTCAATTAGAGTGATTTGAAAGAGGAAAAGGATGCCTCATGAATTCTTGTCACTGGAATGTATGGGTCAAGTGACATCCTGTGAGGGATTTTGTGGAGAAGATGCCTCTGCTGGATGGGACATGAGAACTGACCATCTAAGGTCCCATTCAACTCTAAGATTCTGTCAAAGCATTAATTAATTATTTATTGAATATAGATTGTTCCATAAGGAGATAATGGTGAGCAAAAGCAGGCAAGGTCCCTGCTCCCAGGGGGCCTGGAGACGAGACCAGTGGTCTCCAAAATGGGCTGTGTGCATCCCAGTTGAAGGGAGGAAGAAAATATTAGAGTTATTACTTATTAATTTAAAATTTTTTCATTCTTTTGTTAATTTTTATATTTTCTATTCTATATAATAAAAGGTTAATATGCAAACCGACTGAATGGTGGAATGACCAGAGGAAGGACCAGTCGCTATGACGTGCACTGATCACCAGGGGGCAGACACTCAACATAGGAGCTGCCCCTTGGTGGTCAGTGCGCTCCCACAGGGGGAGCATTGCTCAGCCAGAAGCCAGGCTCAAGGCTGGAGAGCGCAGCGGCGGCGGTGGGAGCCTCCCCGCCTCCACAGCAGTATAAGGATCCCCCAAGGGCTCCCGGACTGCGAGAGGGTGCAGGCCGGGCTGAGGGAGCCCCCCCCCCAGTGTACGAATTTTGTGCACTGAGCCTCCAGTATGTTTTATAATACATATGATACCTTGCATATCATTCAGAATCAAATACATATATTTTGGGGAATTAACACCCAAAAACATTTTAACTTATACATTGTGTGATCAACCAAGATGCTAAATAATCATGTGAACTAATACAAATTGCAACCACATCAAGTGCCACCACTTCTATTCCCCTTTGTGGGACTAATCTGAACTCATTCAAACATAAAGCTTTAAGGTTCACACACTGTGGAAGCCCTTGAGCTGCTGCTGCTGCCGTGGAGACTAACATATTGTAAACCCTAAGCAGTTGTCAGGCTTTTGGGACAGGACTTAGCCCATGCTATCTTCACATCCTGGAAGGATTAGCACTGTGAGAATCCAGGCCTATGATTCTGTTATAGTGATAAAGATTTTTTTAACTACCATCATTTACAGATGAATTCTTTATAAGCCAAGCTTTTCTTAGAAGAGCTGAAAGTTCAGGGCCAACCCTTGAGAAGCAGAGATAAGAGGCAGATGTTGCCTCTATTAAGAAGCCACTGTGGGACATACTCATATGATATATTCCTGTGATATAAAGATATATGGACAATAGAGGTTTGTTTCATATAGTGGCATAAACACATGCAAAAAAATTGGAATATAACCTCCTCTGGACTGGAACCTTATCTTAGTGATCTTTGTATCTTCCCTAGAGCTTACTAAAGTAGCTAGAACACAGTAGGTACCGATCAAATATTTATTGAAAGAGTGAAAGATTGAACAGATGGAAAATGAATGATGTGCTTTTAGTTGTACATATAGTAGGTTTAGAACTCATCGTTCTCAATTATGGACACTGTTAGGGACGATCCCACAGCAACTATCTTCTTAGACTCACCTGGTCCCAGGCATATCAGGAAAGTTCATAATGTCATTGATAAAGAACAGTAATAATAACAACGATAATGATAATAGCTAACATTATGAATGCTTATTATGTGCCAACACAAAAACTGCTTGCTTTAAAACTTAAAGAACAAGGAGTAGAGCAATCTTTAAATATAATTAAAAATAAGGACAGAATAAAGTAATTCAGAGTATGAAGAACCACACTTTGATCTCTTATCCAAAAATATGGCACCTGTCTGACACTCCACTGAAAGAACTTTAGATCATTGATTAATCAGTTAACTGCCACAATATTTTGAATTTGATTAAAAAAGGTCTGCCGCTTGCATCTATAGACGCTTACTAGTATGGTGTACAAATGGTTAAGACAAAGAGGTCAGAGTCAAAGGAAAGACTATTGCTTGTACACATGTCTGGGTTGAGCAGTAAATTGCATATTTTTTCTGACATCATTCTATTGTGTCTCCAGTTATGATTATCCTAAGAAATTTTTTTTCCTGGTCAAATCTACATGGGTGCAAATTAGCTTCAGGATAGTGTCTCCAAGTGTCCCAAAGAATAACCTCAAGATCTGGGGGGAAATAAGCATTAGGTGACAACAATTTGGGGAGTGATAAGTGCTGAGTGTTTTGTGCTCCTCTAAGAGACTTACATTGCACATGAGTATATTAGAGATAAAAAGACCACTGTAAGGAAACGTGTTCAGTATTACTTAATCCAGAATTCTCAATAGCTTTTATCAAGTAAACAATTTTTCAACAGAATGCTTCACATATATTTTCTTGGAATTAGGGTTAAGGAATACTGGCTTTTAAAGTTCCTAAAAAGAGCTCTGTGCTGGGATTCTAGCAGTGGACACATGGAAAGGGGATTACTACGAAGACCTATCTGATTTGGAGAAAGTAAGGTTTACTATGGTCTGGGCCAGAAAAGACTCATGCTTGGTATTGTTATTTATATGACAAAAATGAAACCCAAAATAAAGACTTGGGAGAAAAAGACCGACTTTTAATCAGTTGTTTGAATGGACAGTTTAGTTATTATGGTGGTCTCACACAGTCATAGAAATTTATATTTTCATTTTATCCCAAAGAAAAACTTGACCATCTTTCTTTAATACTATCAACCTGGAAGCTTGACAGTAAGGATTAAAAATTGCTCCTTCCTTCCCACTTGGTTATTGGAAAGGCTCTGAAAGGTAATCAGTCTTGTGAAGCTACACTTTACAGTCTGCATAAAAATGCCATGATTTCCCTACCTCTCCCCAACCTAATTGAAAGTGCATAATATCACCCAGCTGGGGAAATGTAAACGGTAAACATACGCAATATATCATGCTCCCACACAAAAGCTGGTTACTAATAGGGACTGGGTGGTTGTCAGGACCAAAAGGAAGCTGGAAAACAAGTCTTTTTCTTTTTCTCCATCTAGAATGAGAGCTCTTTGTGTCTGCCACCCTCCCCCCTTCACCTCCTCCCTCCAGACTTCAAGCTGCAGCCAGATTAAACCAAGGTCAGTCAACTCATTCCCTGCCTGTGTAATTCTAAGGGTCACCTAACAACGTATATTGACTAACACGCTCTTATATCAGCCTTTCAAGAGATGAAGCATTTTGCTTTTGGCAGGAGGTGGAGCTGGAATCATCTCGTTTCCTACCTACTTCAATTGTGTGACGGATAGTCCTATTATCTCTTGCCTTAGCTGCTATACCTAAAGATCCTTGGCCTTGTCACCTCTTATCTTTTTCTATTTCATCAAACTCCTATTGCCAAGATGTTCTCCTTTCCTACTGTTGATCATCCATGAATATCTGTACAGAATCACATGAGTATAAAATCTCAATCTTACTTTTCAAAACCCTCTGCACCTCTGCAGTGATCTATGATTCCACCTCAGTTATGCCTTCTTATAAGTCATCATTCTCACCTAAGACTCCTCATCTCTTTTAAATAAGACTTTCACAGTAGGGTTTTTAGCTGAAAGTGTTCACCATATTCCTTCAAAAATCACTCCCTGTTGTACCATGAACTCAAATTCTACTACTCATTCATGTCATCTTATAATGGGCTATTGTTTTATTTTTGATAGCCAATACCTTACAGGTAGGTCAAAGCATAGCACTTGTCAAGGGTACTGTGTCATTTCAGTTTTAATAGATTGAAGGATGTGTTTTTATATGCTTCAGAAGTAGAGATAACTTCAAACTTATTAAGTTAAAACTACATTCATCTTTCAATAAATTACATTACCTGTCAACTGGCACCGGTGGATGGTATGGCTTGTTGACCTTGGCATAGAGACCCTCTAAATGGTCTCTCTCTGGAGAGAGTGGACGGCCATCACGAGGATAAACCAGTGGTCCAGCCCGAGGGGGAGACGGAGACCTATAGACATTTGCTGATGTACATGGTTCCCGGAAGTGGTTCACTCTGGCATAATTGGGATCCATTTCATCATCATCCATATCATGCAGTGATCCAATTGTACCAGTAGCATAATCAACAAGAACTCTTGCCTGCTTTTCCCTTAGCTCCTGATGTTTTGCTCCAATCCTGAAAAATGTAGAACAGGTAACAGAGACATCTGTGAGTTTATATGCTAGTACAATGATACACTCTTCTGACTCTGTTAGTTCCTCCTAGTCGGTCACTTGGCTGTCACTTACCTGTATACTCAAGACCACACCATAGAGAAATGCAAATAGCATAGTCCATGGGATTAATTTTATATCTACGGCCTTTATTTGTTAAGGAGTCTTTGCTATTATAGCAATGCTGTAGGTACTTTGACATCTTGCCCACTGATGCCTGAGACGATTGCAGTGCAGAGTCAGGCTAATTTTCATTAACATTCCCTTCCTATCAGTGGGATGTGCTCATGGGAACAGTATATCTTTGATGTGATACTATGGAAGCCGGCCTTGGAACAGGGATGCATGTTAAAGAGTCCATCAGAATCTCATACTTTGTCTATGATGTCACTATTTGGCACTCTAGAGTTCCAGTGTATTCTTCCAAAGAAAAGAGCTTGTAAAAATTGATTTGAATATGAAAAATAAACAAAGAGGCTTTCTGGTTACTAAGAGCAGTGGGATCAGATGTAATTTATCAGAGACTCTTAAGTTTTTTTGGTTACATAAATGGGGATCATTGTGTCTCATTACATAGGAACTAGGGATAGAGTAAAATAGTGAAGAAATTAATAGACTCCTGACAGAGATGAATTGGCACATATAAATGAATTAAACACTACTACTGGCACAACTCCACAGCGCTAAAACCTTAAATGATATTACTGCTGATCAGTGTACTGTGTAGACTACTGGGAATGGGAGCAGAACAGTATACTTAGGTGGATTCCAAATCCATCAGAATTTTGAGCATTTGACATTTAATCTGGAAAGTGTTAGATCAGCTCTCCTAAATTCCCAGTTAGGTGTTAAAATGGAAAGGTCACTGTGTATCTTATAGGACAATGGTGATCTGATGGTGCCAGGAGGCTTTCAGCGCTAATGAGGAGAGCATGTAACCTTACACATCACTGGGCAAGCAAGGTGTATTGTGTACAGGACGAGAGAAGTAAGGTGATGAAAGAAAGACTCTCAAGAAAGGATGGTGACAAATCCGGAGTCCTGGGCTCAGAGAATACGAGAGGGCTGTGGGCTAGAAGCAAAAGATCTATATTTGCCTGGAGATATATGTCGAAGGCTTAGGTGAGGGAAAACAAAAACTGAACTCTCTCAATATATTCTCTTCAAATAAAAACAGCTGTTTTTGCACATTGCAGCTAGTTTTATTTTACTGAACATCAAACTCTTTGTAAAAATCTTTAAAAGCCATGATCTTTCAAGGTATTTTCTCTTTAGGCAGAATGGCTTTTTTTTTTTTTTTGCTTTTTTTTTGGTAGAGAGGAGGAAAGGAGGAAAAAATATAAAGAAAGGATAGGATAAAAAAAATCCCAGCATCTATCCTCAAGTCACAACAGATGAAAATAAATGTCAGGATACTTTACTGCATCTCTCTTTGGACTAGGTCAAATCGTGTACCATACAGTGCATATAAATAATTAGGAGAATTCATATTTTTGCAAAGGGGAGTTAGAATCTCCAAGGGATTTTGAATGAAGATAAAAGGAAGATTACTCAGCAGGGTACCTGTTAAGAGGCCCTGCCTATCCTCTTTCAATGCATGTTGGCCCTAGATTCATGGATGTTTGTTTTGAATAATTTTTTGATAAAGGAGATAAGCTGCAACAAAACAATCTTCCCAGGGACAGTGCCAACTGGATTATCAGAGAATGCTTGCTGCCCTGGGATGATAGGGATGGATTTCCTTGCAAATAGAGTGCAGGACATCAATCAAGTTAGGGGGCGGGGTTCTGTGTGGTTACCATCCCTCCTAAGTGGGATGCCTTCAAGAGGAGTCATTCAGCAGAAAGATGAACATCTCATGGCTGCCACGTGGGGCTACACTTGGGCATTAATGAAAGAGGAGAACACCAAGCTTGATTTTTAAATATCACAGGAACAGAACACTATTATCTGTGTTCCTTATTTTATCACTGCTCTTTCTTTGAGGCTTGCAGAGATTCTTGGGTGAAAAGTACTCAAGCAATATTTTATCTTGTATTTTTCCTTTTGAAAACAAAACCAAATTTCTCCTTGATCCTCTCCAGACCACGAAGTGTTGCAGTAACTAATTTCATGTTAATCCCTCAGTACGTGGAACAGAAATTCCTCTGAACCATCATTATTATGCCACACCTGAGGGTCTATCCAGGAGGCAGAGGAAAAGGCAATGTTTGCAAAGGGGAGTATGGACCTCCTGCTCCAAACAGTGTCAGAATTCTAGTTGTTTATAGTCATTTCCCCTTGGAGGTCTCCTTATCACTGGGAACTCAAGCTGTAAAAATATCAATTTTTCAAAATAGTCCTGGATAATATAGCCTTTTTATTGGGTGGTACCACCAGTTTCCCCATTCTCCCCAGTACTCTGCCTTTAACTAGTTTAAATCTCCTTTTTCCCTTTTCTCCTATAAAAACATTGTTTCTTTTTTCATTACACCTCTTGGATATCCTCTTCTGATTCAATTTCTTTAGTTGCAGTCTAGTGTTTAGGTTTTATATTGCCTACATCTGCATTGTCCAGTATGGTGATCATTAACCATATGATGCTATATAAATTTAAATGGGAACAAATTACCATTAAATAAAATTTAAAACTCAGTTTCTTGACTTCACAAACCATATTTCAAGTGCTGGTTGGAAAAGGTGGCGAGATTAAGCAAAAAATAAATAAATAAATAAATCTCACAGACACAGATAATAATATGGTGATTACCAGAGGGAAGGGGGTAGGGGAGGCAGGAGAAGGTAGAGGGGGAATAAATGGCGATGGAAACAGATGACTTTAAATGGTGAACACACAATACCATATACAGATGATGTATTATACAATTGTACACTTGAAACCTATATAATTTTATTAACCACTGTCACCCCAATAACTCAATAAAAATGTTAAGAAAAGAAATAGAATAAAAAGAAAAGGACAGGCAAATGAGAGAAAATATTTGCAAAATGACCCAATTAAAACTGGGCAAAAGACTTAAACAGATACAATCTAGACATGCCCAATAAGCAAAGGAAGTGTGTTTAACATTGTACAGTAAGTCATCAGGGAAATGCCAATTAAAACCACAGTGAGATACTCTTACTAAAATGAAAGAGAAGGATAACATCGAGTGTTGGAGAGGCTGTGGACCATCCCGAACTTTCATGCACTGTGATGGCATAATCCCTTTGGAGAAACGTCTGGGAGTTCCTTATCACACTACACCGGCACTGAAGTCGTGACAGAGAAGTTACCTCCCAGGTACTCATACAAGAGAAATAACTACATATGTCCCCCAAAATTGCTGAAGAACATTTGGTAGCAGCTTTATTGATCATAACAAGAAATAGAAATCATTGAGATGTCCATCCGTAGGAGAATGGATAAGCAAGCAATGGAATGTTCATATAACAGCCTATAAATGATCAATAACACAAAATAAATCCTGAAATACTCAACCATAGGATGAATCTCAAAATTCTGATGCTTAGCGAAAGAAGCTGGACATAACAAAAGAACTTACTACATGCTTCCAATGATAAGAAACTCCAGATCAGGCAAAAACAAGCTCATGGAGACTGAAATCAAATCAGGTGCTTCATGGCAGGGCTCCACTCAGGGAGAAAGGGCATGAGGGAACATTCTCGGGTGAAAGGAAAATTCTCCACCTTGATATACATTCATCAAAATAGAGCAGGGATAGTCTTCTGCTTAGTTAAGACCTGAACATTTCACTGTATGTAAATTATACTTCAATTAAACAACACAAAAGAAAACATGAAAATTAAATTTAAAAATGCCAATTATGCTACATTCAGGGTGGGGCAAAGGTATGTTTATAGTTGTGAAACAGTTTATTCTTATATTATTATTTATTAATTATTGTATTATTTTTGTATTAGCAAACTTAGCCTACTTTTGTCCCCACTCTGTATATACCCTTAAATCCATGTGATAAAATCTAAAATACTTGGAATAATTTATTATAAATGTACTTATATATAATTCTCCTTTAAAATATATCACCTAAAAATAATTATCATAAATTAACAGAATGAGTGTGATTGCTGGGAAATAATTTAAATTGCTTAAGGAAACACAGCCCCTTTTTTTCAGGCAATTTAAACACTTTCCAAGTACTAATTTACAAGCCAGATATTGATTTTGATAAATACATATCATTCTTATTAATCCATAAACACATCTTCTAAATACTGGATAACTTGTTTAAGTCAATTACAAGATTCTGCATTTATCGTTCAACAAATATTTATTGAGCATCTACATGTTTTAGTTTTGTTCTTGATACTGAAGATTCAACAGTGCATACAAATCCTTGCCCTTACAGAATTTAAATTCTAGTGAGGGGAGGCAGAAATGGACAACAAAGTAACTAAGAACAATAGAAAAAATGATGTTAGATGGTAGTAACTGTTACAGAGGGAATAAAACAGGGGAAGGTATTGGGATGGTTGTGGGTGGAGTGGGAGGGTTATACTTTTAAATATGTGATTGGAAAAGGCACCCCTGAGAATATTGAATTAAAGCCTTGAAGAATAAGAGGATGGAACTGTGTAGCTAGCTGGGGGAGAGTACTTCAGGCAGAGCGGGTAACAGGTGTAACAGTCCTGAGGCTGGCAAGTGCCAAGAACAGCAGAGGCCAGAGTGAGAGAGCGAGGAGTTTGATGGCCAGAGTGGGAATGAGGGCCTAGATCCTATGGGGCCTTGAGGTCCAGGGTAAAGATGTTGGCTTTTACTCTCAGAGAGGTATGTAAAAAAAACCACCACATTTTATTACATAATAACAATGCCATCATCTCACTTAAAAATGAACAATGGCCCTAGCTGGTTTAGCTCAGTGGATAGAGCTTCAGCCTGTGGACTGAAGGATCCTGGGTTTGATTCAGGTCAAGGGCACATGCCAGGGTTGCGGGCTCGAT